AATGTTTTCCTCAATGATATGTGGCTTTTGGTCTTCTGGTATTAAATAAGAAAACTCAGAAGACACTTTATTATATTTATCATGTAGTTTAGTGAAAAACTGTGACGTATTAGATCATCCCTTATCTTTACATGTCGTTGAAAACAACAGCTATAGCTGTTAATCTTGATTGATGTTCCAAATGATTAATTTTTAAATTATGATGACATTGGAGAGACCCCAGTGTACCTGAGTATCACTGTTCCTGACCTCACAAACCTTCTTGTCTAGAGGGGAAAGAGCCAAATAAACCTCAAATATCATGTGAAAAGGACAGTTTAGAAACACATAGCAATCCCACCTTGTATGTATGGGGAGTAGTCAGGGAAGTCTTCTCAGCCTGAGTGACATAAATTAAGACCTAAAGATACATAGACGTTGGGGAAAGGTGAAGAGAATGTTCCAGAAAGAGGGAAGCGCATGGATGAAGGCACGGAATGAGAGGAATCAGGATTCATTCAGAGAAGAAAAAGTTCAACAAGACTGGATCTTGGAACATGAGGAGGGAGGGACAAAGGATGTGGACAGGCAAGCAGAGATGAGTCATGTAAATGGACCTACTGAGTCTGGACCTTATTTGAAGAACAGTGGAGACGTGTGGAGGGGCTTGACCAGCAGGTGACAAGATGAGATGTTAGAAAGATTCCTAGAGATTTAGTGTGGAGAATGTATTGGAAATTGGCCAGGTTGGTGGTACGGAGATGAGTTAGTGAGGAGCTCCAAGTTGAGTAGGGGTAACGGATATGGAAAAAAGGGGTTGGAATCAAGACATACTGGGAGGTAGAATCCGGAGTGTGTGGTGATTGAGTAAATGGGGGTGGGGAGTGTCATTTCTAGAGAGTGGTGACACTAGAGGAAGATTTGGTTTGGTGGGTGTCTTGGGCTGAGTGTCCTGGAAACAGTTTTGGAGTAATGTCTGGAGATAAGGGAGTAAGGAAGGCAAGACTAGGTGAGGAAGAAGCTAACTCAATATTAGGGCAACTAAGGCCTTAGCCAATTTACGAAAGCTCTGAAGTTGAGACGGCTCTTCAGTCATTGGCTGTTCCTTGGGGTAGGTGTAACCTTGGGTGGTCAAGGGAGTTCCCAATGAGGGCCTCAGTGGTGAGTGTTCAGCAGCTAATATTCTCAGCCCTGAGGGGCTGGCTACATGCACGCTGAAGAGAGCATCTGGGCAGAGCACCACAGTATCCACCAGAGTGACAAATGTTCTTTGGTTTAATTTGGGACATTTGTACTGTTAGGTGCTTGTGAGTTGATTGTCCATTCCTTGGCAGTTGCTCCTGAGTCGGTTCCCACTCACGGCGCCCCGGTGTGTGTTGGAGTAGAACTGGACTCCACAGGGTTTTCAATGGCTAGTATTTTGGAAAGAGATTGCCAGGCCATTGTACCAAGGTGCCTCTGAGTGGACTCGAACCTCCAACCTGTCCGTGATCCTCTGCGTGTGTTTCCCACTCGCATCACCCAGGGACTCCCATCCATTCCTTTGGCACAAATAATTGAAATCAACTATGCCTTGTTGGGAGCTCTGGTGGCATAGTGCCTAAGGCACTTCACTGATAACTAGAAGGTTGGCGGTTCAAACCTACCGGCTACCCCTCAGAAGGAAGATTGGGCAATCTACTTCCGTAGAGATACTGCCTCAGAAACCCAAGGAGGGATCGCTATGAGCCGGAGATGACTCGAGGGCACATAACAGCAGCAACATGCCATGTTAGGCTTTGTGCTAAGTGGTGTGATTGGTGGGTGTCGTGGGGCAGGATGCAAGGACCAGAAGGCCCACATCTGTCCCAGCAGCGCCTGCGCCAGAGACCAGAGAGATCCTTTCTCACCTCCCCATTTCCTGCGTGTTGCCTTCTCCTTTCCAGTGGACTCGCGAAGGATTAAACCTGATTGCTTTTTTTTTTTTCAATTACTTTTCTAGCTGTTTGTTTTTCTTCCCTTCTTCTGGGACTCTCAGAATTGCTAACAAGCCCAAACACCAAATTCCTTTTAAGGAAGCCCAGACACATGTAGAAGTTACAAAGGGTTGGGAAACCTTCAAAGTTCTTGCAGGCCTCTTCCTTGTCCACAGTTCCTGAAGACGATTCTTTGAAGGTACCCAAACTCCTTGTCTGTGGCCCTCCTTTTATTTCTGGAGGGAGAGTGCACGGGAGCAAGCCACCCCTCTCTTCCCTTTCTTTGGGCAAGGCCTGCCTTCCAGAATTTAGGCCAAGAGGCAGCAGGGGGTAGGGATTAGCGAACCCACCCAGAGGCCAGGACCTAGGGAGTCATTCAGATATCCAAAGGCCTCCTGAATAATGCCCAACCCTGCATGTACCCCTTCCCGCCTCAGGACTTAGAGTGAAAGGCCTCTGCTGGCATTTCCAAACTGAGCCTCAGGAAAAGGGAGGGGACTTCGCTACAGAAAATCTGTTCCTGAAACCACAAACAAAGGACGAGAATCTGCCTCAGACCCCCTCATTCTATTCCTGGCAGGCGAATCATAATTCAAATCTAGTTATGATTTCTTTCCAGGGTGTATTTTTTTTGAAATAAAAAAATAAATCCTGTTCCTATTAATATTTTGATGTTTTTTAACATAAAAGACATTTTTTCCCCCGTTTTTGGCTGGCCATTCTGATACAAAGCTTTGGCTTGTAGTGTTAGGATTCAATGCTAAGCGTAAACAGTGTAATAATCGCTTTAAAAACACGTCAACAAATTTAACGTAGGAAGTGCTCTGTAAACCTCTAGGCCTGGCTTAGTTTTGAACTAATGTGTGTAGCTCTAGTCACAGGGCTGCTTCAGTTAGGAATAGTTTGCAAGGGCCTTTTGATGGGGAGATAAAGAAAAGGTGTTTCTTTTTCTTTTCCTACCTTCCTCCTTTCCCTCCAGGAGCACACCTTTTGTGTGCTTTGCCTAAAAAAGGAATTTCCCAATTTCATGGTGGAATTTGGAGGGAAAGTATGACGTGTGGACTGATATTTATATGCTTCCAACCACAAAAGAATTAAAAAAAAAAAAAAATCAACATTTTGCAATACTCTGATTGGAGGAAAAACTGAGACAATGAGATTAGCAATAAAAACAGTAACAGCAAAATCCCAAAGGATTTGGAATGCCTTTAGTTTCTATTTGGTTTAAGAATGTATGATTTCTTTGTTCCGCCCCTGGTAATTTACACTCCAATGATGGTTTATGTCATTCTTGCTTGGTGGAGTTACTGATTCTTTTGTTGCTCCTAGAGAGTGGTGCACAAGGTAGCCTTAGATATGGAGAACAACAGAATGGACCTTTGTATTCGTTTTTTAGAAGAAAGGGAGTGGCCACTGTTTTTGTTTTTAAATTTAGAATACAAACTGTCTTTTTTCAGCTTGAAATTCAATGATTTCCTGAAGCACTAAGCTGACGCTTTGCTTTTTAACTGTGGGTCTACCTGGCCTCGATGTCTCTCTGAGATCCTCTGCAAAAATGCAACGGGGATAATTTGCAAGAAATCATTATCGTTTACATTGGGTTGTTGCTGGTTTTAAAAGCACATACAACCCATCGGTTGCCCTTTGTGTGAATGATGAATTGTGTGCTTTCACAACAATTTCCTCCAGCTGAAGCTTGACCAAAACGCTGGGCTTTGTACAGAGGGATCTGCTTCAAATGGGTTTGGCATTATGTAGCCACAAGGAAGTTCCTATACAGCTCAAGACTCCACTGTAAGCAGTTCGGTCTACAGTTTTGGTAGTGCAACTCTTAGAACCATTCCAACCCCGTTTTGCATGCTTTCAACTCTCAAGAGCCAGGAATGGGGGGAGGGGCAGTAGAGCCTATTTAAAGTAAACAAAGATTCCAAACCTGTGAAACCCAGGATTTACTCAGGTACGTATATCACAAAATTCCTTATATAGCATTATGTGCAGTGCATCAACATTTCAAATTAGCAGGTCCTTGTATCCTCCTGAATGCACGTTATGTTTTTACATGCATATTAATAAAGGCCCACCTTTGGGGAAAGAAACAAGGCTTGCTTTTTAATGAAATCAAGCCTAGGTGAGGTAGAAACTGCAACCCTCAGACTGCTGGCACCTTTTCCGGCTACAAGAAGAAGCGAGTTTCAATTTCATCATTGTGTAACACTGATAAATGCGATGCTGTGGCTGGCAATATTTGCAGACGACACTGGTCTTCCCAAGCATGCATAAAAATATATTCCAAACAATTTGCTGTTTCACGTGAAGGACTAACAACCCTTCCGTGAGACCGTAACTCAGGTCACTTACATGGAAAGTCTTAAACAGCAAAAATGCTGCTTCCGATTTACATCATACAGTGCCCTCCTAGCGCAGAACAATGGCTTCCTCACTGGACGTTAATGCGAGGGAGAGGCATACTGAGATTTGCAAAAAACCAACTTCCTAGCACACTTTGCAAATATTAACCAATTCATCTAATTGAAAATATAATAAAACACAGAGAGGCTTCCTACGCTGGGAGTCTTCGTGGCTGCTTGAGTCATTAGGATCAAAAAGGAAAGCTTCTGTAAGAGGTTAGGGTGACATTTTTTCCGATCCTTCCATATTGTCCTCTTTGCAGTGTAAGTACAATTAGCTTGATGTAGGGTTTCTCTCTCATTTTAAAAACGTTTCAATTGTGTGAACGGCTGTGAATATAGAAGCCAGTACACGGGGTTGGCTAAACAGCAGATCTGCTCTGGAGTGGAAATCTTTGTATTGTCTCCCTCTCGGATGTGTTTCCACTGTACACCTTCGTGGCCTCTAGCAGGTTTATATATGCATCTTTTGTGCACTGGAGGCTATGACCACCTGCTGTATGTACGATGCGTGCTTGTAACATTTCTACACCATCTCCCCTATTGAATTTAAAGACCTACCTATTACATCTTGTTTACTCGATAGCATTCCCATTTGGAAAAAAAAAAAAAACAGACACACATACAAGACACCAAAAAACCTACATGAACCGAACATGCCATGTTATCAACCTAGCCCCAGTGGTTTTTTTCTCTGCAAGCAAAACGTGTGTCTTTTACACCAGGGCTTCCTCCCCACCCCAGGGGGTGTCTTCCATTCTTTTGTGGCTCCGTTTAAGGCGAAAAGGGCTCCAAACCACTAACTAACTACAAGAGCCCCTTCTTCCACCTCCAGGGAGAATTTCAGCTTTCATTTATCCGAAGACAGCGTTCTCTCTTCATACTTATTCGCCACTATTCCGAGGATAACAAAACACCACCTTTGCTTCAAGATCCCGGGTGGAGGCTCCCGGGCTTTTCAACCATCTTTGGCGAGGCCTTGGTTCCTTCCACTCGAGTAAGTCGCGGCTGGGGGCCATGGCAAGGACTGGGTGCGCGCCTCCATGGCGTTTGCAAGCAGAGCAGCCCTCCCTCCGTCCCCTCACCACCACCACCACCCCGCTCTCCCGGGCGACGCTGCCATGCAGAGCCCCATATGGGCGAGACTTGGCAGGTCGGTGGGGCTCGGTGTGCGGCTCGCGGGCTGGGG